GAGTGTCCCACAAGAGTGTCTCACAAGAGTGTCCCACAAGAGTGTCCTACAAGAGTGTCCCACAAGAGTGTCCTACAAGAGTGTCCCACAAGAGTGTTCCACAAGAGTGACCCACAAGAGTGTCCTACAAGAGTGACCCACAAGAGTGTCCCACAAGAGTGTCTCACAAGAGTGTCCTATAAGAGTGTCCCAAGAGTGTCCCACAAGAGTTCCTCACAAGAGTGTCCCACAAGAGTGTCCTACAAGAGTGACCCACAAGAGTGTCCTACAAGAGTGCCCCACAAGAGTTTCCTACAAGAGTGGCGCACAAGAGTGTCCCACAAGAGTGGCCAACAAGAGTGCCCTACAAGAGTGGCCCACAAGAGTGTCCTACAAGAGTGCCCCACAAGAGTTTCCTACAAGAGTGACCCACAAGAGTCTCCTATAATAAGAGTGTCCCACAAGAGTGTCCTACAAGAGTGTCCCAGAAGAGTGTCCCACAAGAGTGTCCTACAAGAGTGTCCCACAAGAGTTTCCTACAAGAGTGTCCCACAAGAGTGTCCCACAAGAGTGTCCCACAAGAGTGTCCTACAAAAGTGTCCCACAAGAGTGTCTCACAAGAGTGTCCCATAGGAGTGTCCTACAAGAATGTCCCACAAGAGTGTCCTACAAGAGTGTCCCACAAGAGTGTTCCACAAGAGTGTCTTCTAAGAGTGTCCTACAAGAGTGTCACGTGGACATATGTAGTTTTTCGAACGTGTTTACATTCGGGTTCGTGGGTTCCATCTTGTTCTTTTCTTAGTCGAACTTCTCTCTTCTTAATCAAACATCTATCTTTTAGTCGAACTTATCTTTTCTTAATTGAACCTCTCTTTTCTAAATCGAACCTCTCCTCTCTCAATGCAGCCTCTCTTCTCTCGATGGAACCTCTCTTCTCTTAATCGAACCTCTCTTTTGTTAATTAAACCTCTCTTCTCTTAAACAAACCTCTCTCCTTTTAATCGAACCTCTCTTTTCTTAATAGAACCTCTCTTCTCTCCATGGAACCTCCTCTTCTCTTAATCGAACCTCTTTTTTGTTAATTAAAGCTCTCTTCTCTTAATCAAACCTCTCTCCTTTTAATCGAACCTCTCTTTTCTTAGTAGAACCTCTCTTCTCTCAATGAAACCTCCTCTTCTCTTAATGGAACCTCTCTTTTCTAAAACGGACCTCTCGTCACTAATGGAACCTCCCTTCTCTTAATAGAAACTCTTTTCCCTTAATGGACCTCCTCTCTGCTGTTGATTCTAACCTCTCTTCTCTTGCCCCGGCGCTTTGGCCTAATAGCTGGTCGCAATCGCTTAATCGCTTAATCGCTTGTTCTAATAGCTTAATCGCTTAATCGTTTGATCGCTTGTTCTAATCGCCTAATCGCTTAATCGCTTGATCGCTTGTTCTAATCGCTTAATCGCTTGGGGAGGTTTCGGGGCCACTCTGAGTACACAATGAGACATCACTTGCCTCGATTCTGTTGCTTTGCTCTCATAGCAGCATGACAGGGCAAACAAGCTGCGCGCATCAGATTTATATAATCAACGTGAAGACATTTCAAATGTTCAAATAACTTCACAACCTTTGGAAACCATCTTTATTGTTGGAATGAGAGATTGAACAAAAACCCTGTCCTTTGAGACACTAGCGTGTCGAAAGTAGCCAAAATTGCTAAGCCAAGCAAAGTGCAGCTGAATTGCATATGGCAAACAGAATGTTTCACATGTTTTAGATCCTGTTTCCATCTTTTTCCACGCACGCATCCTCACCTTCCACGCTTTGCACCCCTGCAGCAAGACCCGAGAGTTGTCGCAGAAAGGGTGGGATGAGGGCGACGAGATCCTCAAGCTGCAGGAGAAACGTGTCAGCCTTCAAGTCCTCCATTTCTGTGTAGTTGGAGCCGACTATAGCAAGGAAGGCCACAAGCTGCAAGGAGTCGCTGGCAGAGCGGATGTCCTTTGCTGCTTGCAGCAAGGCTGCCTTTTGTGTATTCTGGGCTTTGGCCTCAGTCAGTGTGTTAGATTTCACCTGAACAGCCACAAAACTGCTCTGTTCTTGGCAGAAGATCAGAAAGTCAATAGCCTTGCAGTTTGGTGGGGCCATGATCACTAAGAAGGGTTGCTCCTTGCCCTTCTGTTGGCTCAGTTCCTTGGCTTTTCCCAAAAATGACACTAACTTCTCATCTGCATCCTCCTTTCCTTTCGTGGCAAGTTCTTCATCCCGCAAGAGCGAATCATCAAGGCCAATGTCACAAATGCTTCGTGCCGTACCCTGTGTCAGAAGTGGTGGCAACTTCTTGTACTTCTTCACAATTGCAAACATGGCAGCAAAAGCTGCCACGACCTCAGTGAAGTACGAGCTGGTTTGTTTCATGGTCTCCACGTTGCTGCTCTCGTCAATGGCATCGACTTTGTTTTTGTAGGCGATGCCGGCCAAACCCAGGAGTTTGTCACATCTTGGAGGCATGTTCTTAGGTGTTTGCGACACCGAAGTGAAGAAACTGGCTGCATGCCATGGAGCAACCGTCGGCAGGTAGACTTGCATTCTCCCCTTCGTAACTGAGTCTATGAGCACACTCCCTTTGTATGTGGCTTCAGGCATCAGGTTCACAATGTCATCCAATTGCAGAAAGGGACAATCTTGTCTTTCCCATATCTCTAACACAGATTCCAACTCCTCCTTGGAAAACATTGGGGGCAAGGAACTCCGTGTTCTAAGGTGCCCTGTGGCCCTTGAGACAACTCCAGCTTTAAGACCTTCGGCGCAGTCACTGATGTATTTAGCCATCTTCTCAATGGCCCGCGGGTAGCCGCCAGTAGCTCCCCAGGCAAGATTAATTCGGTACTCCAGGATGTACCTCTTGATACCCTGCTGCAGTTCACTTAGCTTGGCGGAAAAAAGTTTGTAGGTATCAGTACCTAGCACTGTCAAAGTGGAAATGTAGACCTCTCGATTGCTGCCCCTGAACATCTCCACAGTTGCTGCATAGTTGCTGAGAGCAGACATCACGACAAAGACTTGGCCTCCCCAAGCGTCCATCGTCCTGCAAAGCTCCTGGCGCACCAAAGCTTCGTCCTTCGACTTTCCCACCTCATCAGCCAGGATCACAACGGGACGGTCACCGTACCATCTGCGCAGGATTTCCACTGCCAATCTGATGGCAATCTCAGGATTCTCGTGAGACTTCCATGCTTCTACGAAGTCACTCCACTCGCACTTTGTCCTGCTCATGTGCCTTGCTGCACCATAAAGAATCCGCAGCGCCAAGTCAGTCTTCAGATTCTCAATGTCATCTTCGGTCATTCCAGAGTTGTAGGTGAAAGCTGAGATGATCGGTGTCTGGTTTCTACCATTCAGGTCGTGCAGCATGGGAATCTCCTCTCCGAGCATGGCCAGGAAATGGCTCTTGCCTGCTCCAGGTGTCTGTGCCACTAGGATGGCTGGGGAGAAAGCTTTGTCTGACGAACGATTGCCAAACAATTCGTTTGACCTTCCCAGCAACATCCTCACGATAAGTTGCACCTCCAGTTCACGATCTAGAAGCTGTGCTTGCGACCTATTGTTTTGGAGGGCCAGCATTCCGTTGAACAGACCCCTGTCCAAGTCGACAATGTATGAAGAAGCTGAAGAATACGTGGCCTTTCTGTCATTCAGCGGCGCGCTACGAAAGCACTCTGACTCAGTCGTCTGTTGCAAATTCCATGGCAAAAGTGCATTTGTCGGAAGGTCACCAAGCAGAGCTGAATGGGAACATAGGAATTATTGCGCTATGTTTTGGGGAAGGAGCACTTCAAGTCAGCGCATTTTTGGGGACGTCAACTAGCCCATCTCCTCGACTGGCTTGATTCCTTGTGGGTCCTGCACCGAACCACATGGAAAAAGCATACGATTGCGCAAAAAAACAAACCTTTAAGTTTGCCTGACGTGCACAAAACGCAAGACGTCTCTGAGTTGGGTGCAACGGTTCTTCCCTTTGTATGGTCCTTGTTTGGTGCTGCAGGCAGAGGTCCCACACCATGTCGCTGACTAGGCTTTTGCGAACAGAAAGATCTGCAT